GGGTTCCCCGTTTGCCCATCAAATTTTCAGCGGGGGTGCGAAGAGGGCGAATTGAAAGGGGGGAAATAGAATGATTGGAAATGATCGCTGTCATGTAAGTCCCGGGGGAACAACCCAAATTTTAATCTAAACGGGGGAGGAAGAGCAGACTGGAGATCACAAAGAAGTACAGTCCCCCCCCCCCAAAGGGTCAAAATGGGTGCAGTACCTGTATTTTAAAAAAGGGGGGGGTGGGGGGGAAAAAAGCCCTAACTGAATTATGGGAATCACAGCGAGCCCCCCCCCCCCCGGGGAAAGGGGGCATTAAAATCACCAAGTAACAGAACGGTGGGGGTAATGACGAACAAAAAGGCAATACCGGGAAAAGATAATGCCCCAGGGGAGAAATTTAAAAAACAGGCGTATACCACCGTAGTGGATACGGCTGCTGGTAAGCGGAAGTATGAACAAAACGGGTCGGAATACATGCTTTAAAAAAGGGCACTTTTATTAAAGGTCCATCAAAAAGGGGCTGAAGAATACAATAAATTATAGCCTAATGGGAGAAAAAAAGCAGAGTTAATTTTGGTTCCCGTAAGCAAACACCAACAGGGGGAAACGGGGAGTAAATCTGAAGCTCACCCCGATTTCCGAGGGCCCCGTTATTTCCACTGTAAAAGGCAGATTGGCAATGATAAAAGATACTTAAAAACCACGGGGAGGGTCCTACGGACAGAGGGGGTTTGAAAAGTCCACATCCGGAGGCAGGGAAAAAAGTTCAAGCAGCGAAGGAAAAGGGGCGCTTGAAAAAGGAGTTGTGCAAAGGACAGAGGGAAAAGGAAAAGCGGGAAGGGGGATCAGTGTCCCTTGATGGTTTGGTCCTGCAATATATTCAGAGATTGCTTCAAGTGTTTCGGGAATTTAGAGACTCGTATGGGGGACAATATTGGAAATGGTAGGGGGGGGAGATAAAGATTGGAACGTTTGGACTGTACCAAGGGGGGGGGCGGGGCAAAAGGGGGGAGGGAATGGGGAATGCAAGGGACAGAAAGGCAGAAACCTGGGAGGTGGCAGAAGAGGAAGAAACTTGGAGGGGAAAGGGAGGAAAATAAGTACGAGGGGGAGGGTGAAAACCCCTAAAACTTGAACTAGCCAGTGGAGGGGGAGAAACCCGGGCAGGCAGGGAGGGTAAAATGAGGAGGGGGAAGATGGGGGAGGGGGTGTTTAAAGGATCTTTTTTTGACTTTTGAGAAATAGAGGGACGATTGGGAGGAGGTGTCGTACAGGTCTCGCGATACGAGGCTTGGAGAGAACACGAAGAAGCGAGATCAACGGGGTTGAAGTAGGGACGTCTGACCAGGGGCAGCAAAAGATTAGATACGGTGACTAGGGGGGGTAACCACAGAGGTGGGTGTAGAAGATGGGATACCCGAAGTGGGGGGGCGTTTTGAAAAAACGGGAAAAAGAAACAGGTGGGGGTCCCCTTGGAGGCAGAGATGAAAAACGCCATGGCTAAGGGGGACCTTCTGTCTTAGGTAACGGGTTTCCCGCTCATTTAAATAGCTTGACAAAGGCGAGAGTACGAAGGGTGAGCCCAGCAGTTAGGGAAGAGGGAATGATTGCAAACTTATTAGAAAGGGCCTTGGCACCCCAGATGGGGATTCGGCGATAGATCTGCAATATTGCTGGTGGGCCAAAATCGCCACCAAATTTTTACATGTTTGGGGTAGGGGTCACTTTCGAATTTTAACCCATGCCCTTAAAAATAAACTGAGGATGGGATTCTCGGCTGTCAAAATTAAACGAGCCCCTTTTCTAGGGTATTTTCCCCCCGCGGGCAGGGAAAAACAAAGTGTCTACCGAGGATTTGGGGGAAACTTTGGGGTTCCCGCTGTTCAAAATGTCATGCCCCAGTCGGGAAATTTTTTTTGAACAAGGTATGGGGCAGAATGACGGTACCACTACAAATTTAGGGAATGATGTTTTTCAAGAGTGACAGGAACATATCGATAGGAAAAACGAGAGGCTATGGGCCCGGGTAGCATTCTGTAGGATGATGGCCCTACCGCTCTTTTAAAACAGAAAAGAAACTTTACCAAAATGGGGTAGGGGTGCCTTGCCAATACTGTGGTCAAAAGATGGAGTAGAGGAAGTCGGTCGTAAAATGAAGAATTTTTTCCCTTGTTCAGCTGAAACGACGTGGAAAGGAGTGAAGGACAGTCTTCGTTTTTTGAGAAAAGAGAAGGTGGAGAAGTATCATCAGCAGGTAAATTTTCGTTGTCGTTAGGCTGGGACCAAGTTGGTCCGACGGGAACGGGGGGCCATTTGAAAATTGTCCACCGTAAGGGAGAGGGCCCGGGAAACAAGTCAAGGAGACGAAAGGGCCCCATTAATCAAGAGTCAGTCGAGGGCCCCATACCGAAACTGGTGGAGGGGACAGGGATGGGAGGTTAAAAGGGGGGAAAGTGAGGGGGGGGGGGGGGGGGGGGGGGGGGAAATAGGTTATGGAAGGGGGATGGTAGGTAAAATTTTTTTTTTAAGAAAAAAAAAAGGGGGGGTAAAATAAAAAAAAAGAATGGGGGAAGGGGGGGGGTAGTTTAGGAAATTTTAAAAGGGAAAAAGGGGGGATGGAGTGAAATGGTGGGGATTAAATTTAAAGGGTTCAAATTGGGTGAATAAATTTGGGGGGTTGGTGGGGGAAAAAGAGGGGGGGAAAAAAATATTGGGGTGGGTGGTTTGGGGGTAAGTGGAAAGAAAATTATGGGATAGGGGGGGATTTTTGGAATAATGATTACGGAAATAGAGAAAAAAAAGAATTTGGGTGATGGGTTTTTTCCCCTACCTAGGAAAGGGCCTTGGGGAAATAAAAAAAAAGAGGGAAAGGGAAAAATGGGTGGGGAGGAGGAAGGAAAGGGAAAAAAGATGGGGGTAGGGGGAGGGGGAAAGGGGGCCCTTAGGGGCAAAGCCAGAATCACCGTTGTAGATTTTTACCTTTGAATTTTAAGTTTCGTGGAAAATCAACAAGGGGGAAGGAGTAGGGGGGGGAAAAAAAGAAGGGTAGTTCCCAAATTTCAACAGATCCCCTTTTTTTAGGGATTTAAGAATTTCTACAAGTTTGGTTATTTTTACAAAGGGGAAAAAATTAATTTTAAAAAAAGAACCTAAGAAAAAGGGGGAAAATCGCCAAAACAGTTTGGTTATTCAGCGCTTCAAGAAGTTCCATATTTTTTTAACTGTCAAACTTGCATTCATAAACTTACTATTGTGACTGAACTGAAGTAATTTCCACAACCTAACTATTGAAAGCTAACTTTTGATATTTGCATTTATATCCATAAGCGAATTAAGGATAGGCAGAGTTGAAATGAAAAAATATTCCTTCTGACAGTGTCTGGTTCTTAGACTAGCAAGTATTTTGCTATTCTAATCACTGGGAATGCTAAACCCTTAGGATTATACAGCGCACTTAAAGGGAGGGAGGGGATGGAAGGTATTCAGACTCGATTCAGGTAACCTGAGCACAGATCCAATTCCCTAGATGAGCCCCTCACCAGCGTCAAGGAACCTCCCTTGAGGGGAGTATTTTGTGGAGTGGCACACCTCTTAGAGGAGAGGCACTTATACTAGGCTGAGTTAACTAAACTTCAAACGCTTTACGCTGGATGTGACCCAGCGTTTGCGGGAGGAGTTGAGTGCCTCTACTGGAAGTGACCTAAACCAAGGAACAGTCACCCCTCACCGAGGAACAAAGTATTCAACCCTGCGTCAGTGTTCCCTGGATGAAGTTCTCGTGAAGGTGTTATTGATTAGTGAACTAATGCACCCAGGACTAAATGTCAGGCATCATCTCTGAACTTTAGGTTGCTGCTTGACCTTCCCGAGAGTACCAAATATACTCCTGAAAAGTTCCTAGACCCTCACACACAGTAATATATTTATACACATCGAAGGTGGAGAGTCGAGACGAGTTATCAAACTGTGCGAAGCCCTAACCTTGAATCTGTCAAACTGAGGAATCATAGAAAATGCAGAGTTAATCTTAGGATAGGGAAGGCTCAGATTCCATTTATTATGAACCATTTACTAGCATCTTTTAAGTGAACCACTTCCAGAGTAAAGGACTATTACAGACCAACAATCACAATAGTGGGATCAGTTATATGTAATAGCGTAGCAGCACACTGCGAGTGTTGTCAGTTAAATATTGGCCAAGCGTGTTAATTGAAGATAGATTCCGTAACACATGGGAAATTAAGAGACTTGTTTGATCCAAGGAAAATAGAAGTTATTTATGAAAAGCATTTTACAAACGGGGCATCTTCCCCCCCCCCCCTCTCTCCCTCGACGGGTATTCTTAGAATTCCTAATCATTTCACTGGGGGACAGGAGTGAATTTAAATTGTACGTAGTGGGGAGAGTTAAACCCGTAGGGGTCATACACCGGCTGGGCAAACAGGAGGCAATCTGCTTCATTTTAAAGGAACGAGAGGACAGGTCAGCACCATTTCTAAAAACTGGCAAGTTACGAACCCAAAACACAAACGCTGCCAGGCTTTAAGAAAAAGTTATTCAGGTTCTATCCCCGCCCGTAGTATGGTTTGGTATGGAAAATTATTCGTTGTTAAGTGGAAGGCTACAAGTGCAACTAATGACATTGTGGCAACGTTTCGCTCTCCAGGAACTTTGTTAAGCTCTTACAAATACAGGGACAGTATATATAGGCCTCTAGTGAGGTGTAGTTTTAATACTAGAGGTAGTAGTATAGTAGTAATAGTAATAATTCATCAAGATCCCCTTAACAGTCATCAAGACCCTGGTGAGGGGGGGGGACAAAGATACCTACCATTAAGGGATGGAAAATTTAAGTCCTTATATCTACACCGATATATTAGACAGGTTTTGTGGTGAATCCAGGTTATAACAAACCACATTCTATATCCACAAAATTCTGAAATTTCTGTCCAGGAGTGGAAAAAAAAATTTAGGAAAGCTAGTTTTATTTGTGAAGGTAATAAAACAAATTACAATTTTGCCTTTTAGTGCTAACATGCAAGGGTTGAACATTTTAGGGGAAGGGGGAGGAAAACAATCAGGTTCGATACAAGGGAAGGACAGATCCAATTCATTGCATCAGGAGCTCTTCAACAGCAATTTAAATGAACAGTTTCTGATATTACCATGCATGTAACTGACATTACAATACAAATTAAGCTTTAAAACAAGTGGTATAAACATAGAACTAGAAACCAACTTCAAGACAGATCTCTTCCATAGTCAGAATTAATATTAAGTGGATAAACTACTTACATATATACCACTATGAATCAGGATCCAGAAACCTATATTTTTAATGTAGTTTGTGGACCACGTCTTGGAAATTTAGTACAAATACAGAATTTCCAGTCACACTGCATTAACCTACAAAACGGGTTGACTAGTCCTAAATTTTGGATAACCCGGGCAGGTAGCCAGGGGTAATTACACAATCAGCACAAATGAACTGTGTTGCTATGTTAGTCTAGACCGGCCTTCACTCACAGGAGGGGAGGGACGCTCTACTTTGCTACACCCTTGTGGTTTAGCGCTTCTTTTTGATAATCATCTTGGTTGTGGCTGAGGGAGGTAGCAAACTATTCTACCCAAGGTTTAAATGGGTCTAACTTGGCCGCAAAAAAAAAAAAAAAAAATTATGCTTTGTGAAATGATAAAGGAATGGTCCAGGTGCAACGCTAGTCATAGCTGGAGACTTCCTCTTATGCGGACTAACTCGCAAAGTTTTGTCTTAAAACTCATAAAACGCGAGAAGTTTTTCCTTGGACATTTTTTTTTTAGACGTGAGTGGTCAGTCATGGCGTTCTCGCCACTTACGTAGCATATTACGAAGTCCAGCCAGGCTTGTGGGGCAACATTTTTTTCCATAATCAAGTTTTTAAACCCATTGAAGGCTCAGGCTAAGTGACTGTCCAGTCGTCACTTGATACACTTCAAATTTTAAAGGTATATCGTCTTCATGCAGGCTACTGCCCCAGTCTACTGAATTTACTTTTAGTTTCATAGTAAAATGAGGAAATTATTATCGCTAGTTCTACAATAATTTTATATTAAAAAGGCAGTAGTCTGCGTAAGACCTTTAAGCATAAATTAATGAACAAAGGAACTTTTAAAATCTCAATACTATGACCGACACTTCAGAATTTTCTTCGTCACTGTCATCTTTACTGTGCAAAACGTGTTCTGTAAATTGTTGGAAAGTTCTGAACTTTTTCGAACAGCCTGCGCATGTAAAAGGTAAAATTCCCGTGTGTTTAAACTCGTGATACTTAAGTTGATGTCTTTTCCGGTATCTTTTATCACACACTGAACATTTAAAAGGCCTTCTCCTTTCGTCGTCACAGTCAGGACATCTTGTAATTTCACCTTGGACGCCTTCGTTTGAGGCCATTAGATAGTTTTAATACAGAAACGAGTGATCGTAAAGAATCACTAATACAATTCAGAAGAAAGACTTAAGCGTATTCCAGTCAATGTATAATACACAGATAATTTGCTTTCACAAACTAATGTACAGGGAAACAAAAGATTAATGGATTTAAGAAACGTACAGCAATTTTGTTCTAGAGTGGATTTGAGTGTTCAAAAAACGAAGTACCTTTCTTCACGTGTTGCAGAGTTATCTTTCACACTAACACCTACACTGATAACTTCCTTATTTACGGGTAGAGTTGCAAACCTTACTAGACTAGTGTCGCCACTTAGAAGTTGCACCTCACTACTTCGATAAAAGCTTCTGTACAGAATCATGCACCACCTTCCTTTTCCTCCACCAGACAGTCTGGTTATTTAAGCGATACAATCAAGGCAGGTATTAAGCTCCTCGCTCCATCGACCTCCACTTTCAAATGCGAATCTTTTAAGGAAGACAAAGCGTAATTAGAAACCATGTATGCAATGTAGACTACATTTTTATATCAAGTCATAAAAAATAAAACTTGTTGGGGTCGTATAGCGTTAGGGAATGGGAAGTTAACAGTCTATCCAAGGAACGGGAGATTACTCCAATTCCTTGGAGCAAAACCCATAACAAGAGGATCATTAACAATGAATTTTACTGTGACACAGCCATTGTACTTTATCTATATTAAGGATTAAAGTATACTGGGATGTCTACATACACCTGTATATATATATATTAAAAGAGATATATACACTGCAGCTCTCCCTTCATATGCAGTGAATTCACCTTATAATGTATACATTGCTGCTGGGAGAAATACACTTCTGTATATAGTCTGAGGGCTTATACACATGTGTATAGTCTATGAAGGTATGACATATGTACCCAGAGGTACCTAACGTGTTCTACATTTTACCTTTATTCGCCGTCAGTCTCAATTATCCAGGCACACTTATTAAGCACACTGCGAAGGGAACAAGCCACTCCGTGTACTGGTACCACCGTCGTCTGAATACAGTGGTACCTAGCACAATCTTTCAAATCTTCAAGGTTACATTGGTTCGAATCTTGTGAAGGTTTACTGGTTCGTTCGACTGCTGGTGGGTCGGTAAGGCCGTGTTTACACCTGAACGAACCAGCCAAAAATACTTTAATCTCCGAAGGAAATGGAGTATTTCTGTCAGGTAGGAGGACAAAGAACAGCATTTGCAGAAAACCCTGTTATAGGGGTAACATTTTTCTCCGTGCGGAGCTTTAGCAAATTATAATTTAATAAAGATCTACATAAAGCTGAACGTTGTCCCAGTAAAAAGCTTGTCTTTTCTTCACGCAATATGTTCATACAATTTTTCAAGAAAATTATTTAGAGAGGAAAGCCTCTTTCATGTTATGAGCCTCATCTTACTGAGGAGGTTTTACCTCAGCACTCGAGAAAAGCTTCACTGGTGTGTGAGACATGCTTTAAAACACACTTCTGAGAAAAGTGTTTAATATGAACTTCCCTTTAACAAAATATTTTTCTGCCAGAATTTTGCTGCGGATACAGGTTTTGCGTTTGATATATGTGAAGGAAGTTGCATAAAAAATGAATGTTTATTATAAATAACTAAATATATAAATAAACCTATATACACACATATATATATATACACATTACATATTATATATATATATATATATATATATATATATATATATATATAATATATATATTATATATATATATATATATATATTTATATATATATATATATTTATATATATATATATATATTATATATATATATATATATATATATATATGTATATATATATATATATATATATATATAATATATATATATATATATATATATATATTATATATTATATATATATATAAAGTGAACATTTATTAATAAACAGAATACATTTAGAGAAAAAAACATAAACATGAATACAATGACACAATGTATCAAAGATCATGAATTTCCACCAGCTCCTCCAAGGCTGGACGCGAGCCAAGTATGCAGCAAGCATTACCCCTCTGGATGGCTACGCTGAGGCGCTGAAACATGAAAGTGGTTGCCTTGGGTCCCTGTTGGTGCCGATGAGTCTGGAACCCAATTCTTTAAGGAAACGTGTGGCATTTTTTCCCCATGATCCCAAGGTCTCTGATCCCACTGGGACAAATTGATACTGTTGGCTTATGTCCCTGTACTTGCTGATCTTGTAGTCCTCCCTGTGGTCAGCAGCTCCTCCCTGTCGCCCCACACTATGATGGATATAGGTGTCAGCCAGTGTGGACACACAAGTATAGTCCCATGCTAAGTGCTTGCCATTCTTCCAAGGATAGATGGTGATCCCATTGGGGTGGTTTGCTGGGTTGTGGGTATTGTTGGCTGCTAGTGATCGGGGCTCCCTCTCGGCTGGGCATCCAGCTGTTGCAAGGGTTCTCTTAATGATGTCGTTGACCTCATTGTGTCTTGCATGCCAGCCCTTGGTTTTGGAGCAGTTAAGACTATGTAGACCGTATTGGTCTGCTTGCGCTTCGCCGCAAATACACGTATATTCTGTGTGAATTGGGGCAGCAGGCGCAGAGCCACTGGCATACGGAGGGTCTTAAGGTCGAGCCGCGTTCCCATGCCGATATGGAACTGTTTGGAGGAAGTCCCGGAGTGAGGTGCACTCACAGCCTGGAGACGGGCAATCTCCCTATCTGATGTTGCAGCCCTGAGCATGTTGGCAAGCACCTTTTCAGCGATCGGGCCATCCCAGCTTGACTGTGAGCCAGTGCTGCACTAGGGTTTGGTGCTGGAGCAGCAAGAGTCTCCCATTCAGTGATGGCACTGGCATAGCTAGGGTCTTCTATTCCTGCTGAGTCACTGAGGATATCAGGAAGAATTTGTCTTATCAACTCGTTTGATGCTATGGAAGAGGATAGGAAAGCTGGTAGAGTAATCTGGGAGGATCTGCGTACTCCTAGCCCTCCAAGCCTGACCGGAAGTGAGGCTTGCAACCACTGTCCATCTTCAAGGGATAGATTCAATACACTCTCTAGCATGGTCTTCGGGAGAGAGTTATATTCCTTGAGTTTTGGACTGCTGAAGACTGCGGAGCATCTCAGAAAGTAGGTAGGTTTTGGGATTGACAGGCACCTGGTGAGTAGGTAGAAGGCATCGTGTGTGTCAATGTCTTTCATCCTGCTTTCCATCGTCCGGAGGTCTGAGACTGCATTGGACCCAAGAAGAGCACAAAGAGTGCTATTGGCTGGATCAATGGCTCGTGCTCCTGGCTAAACGGCGCTAATATTCTGGATCATCTGTTGATTGGTAGAAACTATTTCACATTTGGTGGGGTTTAAAGAAAGGCCCAGGCTTTCTCCCATGTCTTTAATTTTACTGATGTCCTCTAGGAGAGATTCTGTTGTGCCAGCTAGGGTACCGTCGTCCAGGAACCAGATATTGAGCTCGCTGGAGAGTGCTTCTGTGACTTCCTTGATGACCAAACAAAATAGAAAGGGGGCGAGAGGGTCCCCCTGTTGCACGCCCTCACATGAGTCAATTTCATGGTCCCCAAACAATAGTTTAGAAGTCACACTATAACACGATTCTATGAAGGGATAAAGGGAAGGGAAGTTTCTATAAACTGCTTGGAGAGCAGCATCCCTTCTGAGTGAGTTGAAAGCGTTTGCAAAGTCCAATTTGACCAAGGCTTTTTCATCGGACATGTTTTTGATATATACTCGTGCTGCGTGGGCAACTGCTTCACAGCCCTGTTTAACGCCGAAACCGAGCTGAGTTGGTTTCAGCATTGCAGCAGCAATGCTGAAACTGGCGACTAGGCGCCGAAGGGTGTTACCCATTGCAATAGGTCTGATTGCGCCATCCTTTTTCCGGAGGGCACACAATGAGGCACCAAAGAAAAGGGGTCTGACGGCCTCTGGGACACTGCCAGCCAGGCACAAGTTGGAAAATTTGGTGAGTTCAGACAGCAGCCTCTCTGAAACCTCACCAAGTGCTGGATTGAGTATTTGTTTTAAGTGTTGAGGCCTTAAACCGGTGAAACCTCCTGCTGAGCCCTGTGGAAATGACATAGCAGCTTTATACACATCAGTATCTTGTAAGGTTAGATGTTCTTCGCCTGCTGCAATGTCAGGGAGGTCAATGTTAGTACTGGGAGCCCTGGGTGGATGTTTGTCCTTCATAGCTTGCGCCGTACTGACGTCCTTGGGAGCGATGGTATTCTCACTTGTTATAAGCCTCAGAGCTCCAATAGTGTTACCCTCTTCTATTTTTTTGCTAATTTGGGCTCTGATTTTTGGCGTCGGGTGTCCTGTTGTTGGCATTTGCCCGGCGGGTGTTTGTCGCCCTAGTGAGGAGACGGACGACGTTGTCATCCCTTGGGAATGCATTTATTGCCCTAATAACATGTGTTGCTAGTGACTTGTCCCTCCTTGGTGGGACAGCCAAACAGGCATTGCCAAAAAGCAGCAAGTTGTGCCAGGATCTATTGTTTGAAGAAGCATCGTTGACTTTCTTCAGAAGATCAGTGAATTTGCTAGCAGCTTGAGGGCGAGCTGCTTTGAGAATGTGTCAGAGTCCTGGTGGATGTTAATTTGATTACAGATTTGAGGTCCTCCGTAGAGGTGAAGTCATATATATATATATATATATATATATATATATATATATATATATATATATATATATATATATATATATATATATATATATACATATATATATTATACATATATATATATATATATATATATATATATATATATATATATATATATATATATATATATATATATATATATATATATATATATATATATATATAGGGGGTGGTAGGAGAAAATTCTCAAACAGCTTCAGGGAGAACCTTGAGTTTTCCCTGAAGCAAGTTTATTCTTTTCTCTGAGGATGAGGGTCCCTATAACAGTTCTAGAGGTGGTACCTCCCTGTATATATATATATATATATATATATATATATATATATATATATATATATATATATATATATATATATATATATATATATATAAATATATATATATATATATATATATATAATAATATATATATATAATATATATATATATATATATATATATATATATATATATATATATATATATATATATATATATATATATATATATATATATATATATATATATATATATATATATATATATATATATATATATAATATATATATATATATAATGTATAAATATATATATATATATAATATATATATATATATATATATATATATATATATATATATATATATATATATATATATATATATATATATATATTATTGTAACCATGAACGAGTGGTATTTAATAACAACACTGCGACTAGTCGGGAGATCGAACCCGTGTTGTTTTAAACCCGCCTCATGGTGAGCGTAAATTTTCGCTCACCATGAGGCGGGCTAAAACAACACGAGTTCGATCCCCCAGCTAGTCACAGTGTTGTTATTAAATACCACTCGTTCGAGGTTACAATACTATATATATATATATATATATATATATATATATATATATATATATATATATATATATATATATATATATATATATATTCTGTCAACAAACCGGCCGTATCCCACCGAGGCAGGGTGACCCAAAAAGAAAAACAAAAACTTCTCTTTTTAAATTTAGTAATTTATACAGGAGAAGGGGTTACTAGACCCTTGCTCCCGGCATTTTAGTCGCCTCTTACAACACGCATGGCTTACGGAGGAAGAATTCTGTTCCACTTCCCCATGGAGAATATATATATATATATATATATATATATATATATATATATATATATATATATATATATTTATTTATTATTAACATGGAAGAAGTGCGGCTTATTTCAGAGTGACAAGGAAATCCCAGAAAATCCAGGGAAAGCCAAGGAAAGGGTGGCTGTATGGTACAGAAGTATCTTGGTGTTATGTTGAGTGATCACTCTCTCCACAGGAACCAGAAGATATTATTCAAACCTCGCTAGCAGAACTTGGAGAGTTCGGGCTTAGAAGTTTACACCAAATGTGTAGTATCAAGGAAAATTTTATGGACAATGATTTCTGTCAAGATTTCTGTAACAATTCTC